TTGTCATCATCAGGTACCTGATGATGACAAAACCTTGTCGAAACGTTGTACATTTGCTGTTGTGTTAAAGTTTTTCTTCATTACCCATTCAAGCCGTCTCCAGCCATTATCATTTTAAAAACTTCAGTAAAGTTATTACATCAATCAGAACGAGTGTGTGGTTGTGGTTCAATGTAACACAACAACTACTGGGTTAAATTGAATGTAGTATACCCTATGCCAATTTTTATTAATATATATATTATTTTTATTATGTTTTAATTTTTTATTTATCCCACAGAAACAGTAAAAGTATGTCTGTTGGATTACTTGTGATGGTAATATTAATTCAAGGCTCAACAAGTTTTGCACTTAATTGAATGAAATATATAAACACAAAAGAAATTTCATTGTTATGCAAGAACACAAGTTTGCTAAATTTTGAAAAAGAGCTCCCAAGTGACAATTTTTAATTCTACAAAACAGTGGGGAAACAAATAAAAACAACACAAGATCTTTATTTGTAGCATGTGTGTAGACACAAAAAGCACAAGTGCACTAAATTAATATGGCCACTATAATATACTGACAAGCTTTGGGTACTATAAAGTAAGGCTATGGCTGTTATGACAAGTTTATATGTACTATGGCATAATGGCAAACTAAAGAGATTATAACTATTATGTAGCTTCACTGTGTCATAACAGTCCAAGGTTTGGTTATGCTCTATCTGATTACTGTGCTTCTTGGCAATATCCCTGTAGCATAGACTCCACTGCAAAGGTTGCATCATAAGGCTGTCATATTCATATCATACCACTTATTCCTAGATGCTTTCAATAATCTACTTAGTGAAAGACAATGACAATTTCAAGTAACCATTTCAACAGTCTCATCATAGAGAAATCTGTAAGCATTGCACCTGGCAACTGGACTGGTATGTCTTTCTGTGGAATAGCATGAATAACTATTTCATTCTCCAGCTGCTTGTGTTATGACAGTTGAATGAATATGTTGTGAAGCAACTTGTGTCACTTTTCTTCATTATGTTGCATACTGTTGCCTGGGCAACATGGAAGGCTTTTGTATTAGTGGATTCTCATCTGTTACAAGACACTGCACTTCCCTTACCAAAGATGAAGTACAACTTGTTGCATGTCTCCTTCTGAATGGTCCTGGTGCCCCAAAGTGATTCATTCTCCTTTGTTTTCTAATGCCATTAACTCTTTGCATACAGGTGCGTCCCCTTTGCATATGTCACAACCTTTCCAGTTACATTAGAAAACTTTATTATCAATGTATGTCAATAAATTTGTCAGGAAAATAATTTAAATTTATATTTTAATGTTATCTAAGTTTTAATTTTCTTATTTTAAAAAAATATTAAAAAATTTCTCAAACTTCATTTTTCAGTGTTGTGACACGTCTGAGCTTTAGCTTTTTCCACTTCAGAATTTTCTGACTTTAACAATAAGCTACTGCAGTTTCCAGTGAATCAAAACTTTAAGTATACATAAATACAAGCATGAATCTAAAATTTAAACCTCCTACCTTCTTGATTTGCTGAGGTATCAGTAGATTTGCCAAACCCACCAAAGAGGCCCCTCCCCTTATGCTCTGATTTTTGAGATTAATTGCTAATCATTCTTACATGGCTGATGAACATGTTTAAAACCAATAGAAAGAGCAGGTTCTCCTCTATATGAAGGTTAGAACCATCCTCCTGGTGAGGAGCGTAGTCACTTGATACAAAAAGTCACTACACTGAAGTATCAAGCCAACAACAGGTAGATGTAGTAACATGTTGCTACTAAGATACACTGAGAAGCTAAGAACACTGTGACCTAATGGTGGTTACAGGTGCAATAATGCTATAACAAATTACAGCCACAATGACAAACAATGTAATTACAAAATACAACCACTTTGACAGAATGACAAATAATAAAACATCAAAATACAGACAGATGGACAAACAATATAATGACAAAATACAACTGTTTTGACAGAATGACAAATAATGTTATGACAATATACAATTGCTTTGACAGAATGACAAACAATGTAATTACAAAATACAACCACTTTGAAAGAATGACAAATAATAAGACAACAAAATACAGACTGACAAACAATATAATGACAAAATACAACCACTTTGACAGAATGACAAATAATAAGACATCAAAATACAGACAGATGGACAAACAATATGACAAAAATACAACCGCTTTGACAGAATGACAAACAATGTTATGACAATATACAATTGCTTTGACAGAATGACAAACAATAAGACAACAAAATACAACCACTTTGAAAGAATGACAAACAGTAAGATGACAAATCACAGCCATGATGACAGAATGACAAACTATTTAATTACAAAATATAACCACTTTGACAGAATAACAAACAATAAGACAACAAAATACAACCACGATGACAGGATAACAAACAATAAGACAACAAAATACAACCACGATGACAGAACAACAAACAATAAGACAACAAAATACAACCACGATGACAGAACAACAAACAATAAGACAACAAAATACAACCACGATGACAGAATAACAATGTAATGACAAAATACAACCACTTTGACAGAGTGACAAACAATAAGACAACAAAATACAACCACCTTAACAGAATGACAAACAATTTAATGATTTTATACACTTGTCTTTATTTTTAAAACTAAAAAAGGCACCAAACAAAACATTCATTTGTTAACTTTCTTCATGTATCAGGTACCTGAGTGTGAAAATGTGGAAATCTAAAAGATACAAAGTTTAACTGAAGATGTCGCATTTGACCACCAGCAGAGATATAATTAATTAAAATATACAAGTTTGATTATCTATATGATAAAGTAAACAGATTTACTTTGTAATTTATTATTATAATGAATGACACCACTTCTTTTATTAGTGCAAAACAAGGACAATTTA